ATATTCCCAGGATATTCCCGCAATGTTCTGTATATTTTTTGAACATTCTGGGATATTCATAGAATATCAAATGCTATCTGGGCAAAGTAGATTTTTTGAAATTCAGCACGTTTAAACCAAGCCAGTGCAGTGTTTGAAATTTTGCACTGTTAAAACCGAAGACAATTGGTTTAAGCGAAAAAAACTGCCATGAAGTTGCACATTTAAGGGATTTATAAAAAGTAATGTGGAATTTTTGCTCTTATTGGCGCTGAGCAAACTGAATGTTCAAAAATTCGGGACCTCCAAACCGAAGCATCTAGAGCCTTATAATTTTGCCCCAATAGAGACAGTGGAACCAGGTATAAGCGAGATCAATTGGCGCTTGATTGTTCAAAAGATTGAATTTTGACAATTTTTCGAATTTAATTTGCTTGCCGGTGAAATACACAAAATTTTAAAAAATCTTCGGGCTCCAAACGAAAGCCGCTAGAGACTTTGGTACGAAACCAGACAGGAACAGCGATCTAAAATGCGGCAAATTACTGCAAAAATGACCGAAAGGAAAAAGGTTTGAAGTCGTTCAAATTCAGGTGAGAATCTTGGACATGGCGCTAGCAAAAGCCAATATTCAAAAATCCAAACTAAAGCGCAAGTTTGTATGCACCAGAACAGAGTTAAATGGCAAGATAGAGCAAGATTTGCCAAATTTTCTAATTCAAGATCCACCTTTGGCTTTGCGCTGAACTGGACCTATTTTGGCTTCAGAATTGGCGCACATAGAGACTAGAGCCAGTGCATAAATCCGTGCACATTAGAGCTGAACCAGAGGTTCATAATTATGATAAAAATTATGGGATAGAAGTCACTGACTCGGGAACCAGGAAGAAATAAATAATTCTTCCACTTGTCATCAATATCTTACAAAGATGTTTTGTTCACAACGTTGTGCGAAATGTGTTGTACCAACGAATGAAACATTTATGTGTTTATGTATTTCCATTCCATGCATCTGAAGATGGAAGATGTCCCTCTGAAGATGTTGGCCGAGCTCGTTAACAAAACGTCTGCACCAAATTGTCGATCCAACTTTTAAAAGTTAGGCATTTAGTCCTGTTCTAAAGCACTTTAATTATTTTTTAGCCCAGCCGATAAATAAATGCCGCTTTCCTAGTTGGATAGCGAACTTCAACCATTGGCATACTCTGGACTTTTCCCAGAGTTTCAGCTTCCATCATCGCAACTCTACGCTGCGTATCGGCAATTCCAGCGGCATTGAGATGAAGGTGCTTTGCGTTCAGGTGAAGCACAGCCGAGAAGAAGAACATGTTGTTCTAGTCACGCATTTTACTATGGGCTGGTAAGAAAACTGGGTGTTTTGGGCGATTTTTCGGCGATTTACAGAGTTTTTGCTTGCAGCCAAAGCGGCTTCAATTGCATGTCGTTCTATCGACGAGATGGGCATGTGGCCGAAATCCAGATCGGCAGCCAAACCAATCGGTTGGAAGACGCCTGTAGCACGCCTTTCTTCAACAAATCCAGCTTACCTTACATCACTTTAGTTAGTAAGTATAGTCATATTTATGAAAGTTGCTGCGAATATTTAGCGAAAATCGTCACGGTGGGATAAACAAATTGAACGAATGAAGAACCCTTATAGTTTACGGCCATCCATCGGCCAAATAACCCAATCCCTCTAATTAATTAGCACATCAAAGGGCTGAAACTGTTATGGGAACTTCACAGGTATTAGAGTCAGTTAAGGAGGTCGACAAGCACTAAAATTTACAGATCGCTGATTTTCATCCAGATGAATAACACCGGAGTTTCAAGCCTTTTAAGGGGCATTAAAGGGCAGTGATTTGCCAAGTTTCAACCAACAAAACAGGGCATTTGCCCACTATAAAAGCAGTTGAAACAACTAAGAGAATATGACAAAATCAGCGGGAGAATGAAGAATGTTTTCTTTCATTATAAATATCAAATCCCTCCGATCGAGTCGAGTGGAGTTTGTTTTGAATAAATTCGATTTTTCTTCGGATTATCAGAATGAATAACAGTTGCCCGCTTTTAATTCACTTTCTCCCGCTGAAAAGTAATTATGTGATTAATTCGATTAAGTCGGCGCAGACTAAAAGTCACGGCTCGAAATCCGATTTATTTCAGAATTTACGTCTGAAGTTTTTGAATAGAGCAGAGATTTATCGGGGCTGTTGTAAAAAAAAGCCGGTTTGGAAGGTGTAGCATTGGCGTGATAAATTATCGCCAAGCTGAATTTATGTGAACTGGCACATAATCATACATTTTTTCCAGTGATTTTTTTCCGTCTGTTCATTCTGTTGTTTAAGTGTCTACTTCGGCAGTTCGGGCTTTTTTGCTCCCAATTCCCCGAATTCCCATTGTTCGGTCAAAAATTAGTACAATGAAAGATCCTGCCATTTCGATTTCTAAAGGCTGATTATTTTCAGTGGCATTAGCTCAATTTCCAGTTTAGAATTCTCTCCGCCGTCTCTTTCATGTCGCGTCATTATTAGAACTGTTCTTCTGCCTGACAATCTGCTATATTGCTTTTTCTTTCATTTCCTCTGTTAACACAACGGAAACCGGCTGAAATAGTTGTCAATTCTCGATGTCTTCGTTCGTCTCACATTTTCCCAGTCTTTAATTATCTTAAGTGCACGATTAACATGAAGAAAGGCTGGAGACGGCTTTTGTTAGTGTTTTTCGAATGTACTGACAAGTTTCAATGCTGTTAAGTGTCTGTCTAAAAAATCGTTTCTTAGCCAAAGATTGATAGCGTTTTTCAGCAAACTCGAACTTGTTTCTGAGGTTTACAGTATTTACTTTAAACGAAAATGCATTGATTGACTGAAAATGGTTTATTAGATTGATGTTTGGGGTTTTTTCTTTGTGGTGGCCTCCAAAACGTCCGGATCTAAACCGCCGTGCTTTTTGTGTGGCGGCTTTTTGCGCCAATGTTTGGATTGTTGCCGTAGGTTTCTTACTCGATTGAGAAGTTTTTTTATTTCTATGAAATGCAAAAGAATTATTTTATTAATGATGATAGTTAAATAATGCTAAATTAATTAATTACGACATTTCTTTATTATCTGAGTATAAATATACTGATAATAATTTCTTGAGAAATCTGCGGCCGAGTTCGAATAAAAACAAGCTACAAGATGAACGGTTTTGAATCAATGATTTTCAGCTCAGTTCCGGTTTTTGTGATTCATTGAACATCGTCAGTTTTTTATGGAGATTTCTTGCTCCATGAAAAACCTAATGAGTTTAACTTATTGATTATTCAGAAACTTCTCAATCGGGTGAAAACCCAAAGGCAACAATCCAAACATTGGCGCAAAAACACACAAAATCAGGGGGGTTTAGGTCCGGACGTTTTGGAGGCCACCACAAAGAAAAAACCCCAAACATCAACATAATCAACCATTTTCAGGCAATGATTTATTTACGTGTGTTTTCCAGATATTTTCAATGTTTTTATTCTGTTTAGCCAGTTCATCAGATCGAGCCACACAACCATGTCCATACATGGGCAAGTTCGACGTTACCAACGTGGTTCGCTCAGATGAGGCGAATTTTCCGAAAGAGGCGCGTTTGGAATCGGACAGCGCCTATTTCGATCGGAGAATGCGATCGCGAAGATACACAAAACCGCGCGTGGAAGACTGGGACTTTAGAAGAGTGAAGCGACTGGATCAGAGCAGTAACTGTGATAGCAAGTCATTTTCGAGTTTAGTGATAGGGTGTAATAAAATGGACACTATGGAGTTTAACACGGAATGTACCACTCCAGATTTAATAACAGGTAAATTGAATTCCACTTTTTTTGCTTTGAGTTGTGTCTTTGAAACTGCATTAGAGCAATTTTCGATATATCAAATCTAGCAAAAGGTTTAGAAGAAAACAATTGGAGAACCCTCTTAGACCCGGCTCGAAGGACCAAAATATTTTCAGCATGGGCAAAAGGGCTTTCTTATGCAAGTTCAAGATATTTTCTCTTCCACGATTTGAATTTTTCAGGCAACAAACATGTGTGATTGCTTTTTTCCTTATTTCCAATCTTCCCCAGTTTTTTTCATTGTCATATTTTAGCTTCCAACTGTCTAAGAATCTTTTATTAAACCGCAAAAGAGAGTTTGCGATATTTTCAACCTGTTTCCAGCTATGAGCTGCATCAAAAAACAACGACTTCCACAATCATTGAATCGACAATTTCAACTCCCACTTTCTAAAGATTAGGAATTTCCGATTAAACCTAATTAGGAATTACTTAATTAATTATTAAGAATGGTTAATGTCGACACCTAATTTATAGTACGACATTATTCAAAGGCAAATCGAGGCTCAAAAAGTATGTTTGAGCGTACATTACCTACTAGAAAGTTTCCGAGTCWAAAAAATCCGATTTTTTTTAAAAGTGCATGCTTACAGCAACAACTTTTAGTTACAAAGACGCAGAGTATAAATTCTTTACCGCATGGAACTGGAGYCTCTCTAAATTACAGAGCCGAGCTCTTGTTTCTGCTGTGAAAAGCGTGCGATTTTTCTTTGTTTGAAAGCATATAAGGATAAAATATTAAATTTCCTTGCAGGTACGTGCAAACCGGGTTTCTCTTGAGCGTCACTGTTCGACTGCTGTTAGACGTTATCATTTCACCAATTGTTGCCCGCGCAAGAAATAACAAAGTTTTTATGAAATTTTGGAAAAATCTCCTCGGCGATTAGCGCCTAAATAGTGGTTTTCATGAAGAGAAAAATAT